TAGTAGTAGTAGTAGTAGTAGTAGTAGTAGTAGTAGTAGTAGTAGTAAGGCCTCAGGGTCAGGCCTTAGGGGATCGCCACGAAGCGTAGCGTCCGATATCGTCCGATCGTTGGCTAAGGACCTGGGTGGGGCAAAACCCCAAGGCATTGCTCATCGACGTGGCGCGGCGGAGGGGCTTCGCTCCACCCCAGCTGGAGGCGAGGCGGAGCGACGCGGTTTCGGTCGGTCGGCCAGGTGCACGACGCGAGCTCCGGTTTCGGCCAGGTGGAAGAGGTGTTGGTCTTTTGTGGGTGGAAAAATTGGAAGGAGAAGGTGCAGGGGGAAGGTGAAGTGACTCAGAAAGTGATGGTTAAGAATGTTAAGACTAAGACAGACATGTGAAATAAGACCACTTAAGAGCTAAGTACCCTGGACATGCCTGGACCATCCGAGTGGGTTGGGTAGTCCAACCAGGACACCCAGATGGTCGGATGGTCTTATACCTATGCCAGTACCTATATGCCCTAGACTTCAGTTTGACCATTAAACGAAGGGTTGACCTGACGGGTTTTGTAGTGTAAAATCCCCTAAAAATGGATGCTTGGCAAAGACCATGAAATCAATGGATGGCCGGGAATCCCAGGGTATGCTTTGAGGTGTGAGGTGCAGAAGTCACGTATCGCCTGGCACGGCTCGTTCCTGCTGCGAAGCAAACCTCAAACACCGCATTCGAGGATGAAAAAGAATCTCCGACGCACGACTCGCGACGTCCAAAAAGTAAAATATAATTCTTATATAGGACCTGTGTATTTCAATGGGGAGACATCCAACCAATACACATGTACATGTAGGTAGGTCTTTTTGTAGGACAGCCATGTATTTCCATGGGGATGTCTCATCCAACGCAACATCACGTCGACTGGACGCGTGGTTTGTCTTCTCTCGATTTCAAGTCTACCCCCCGGCCTGCCGCCTTCAGTTCGACCATGTTTGGTCAGAAATGGGAAGGAGCTTGGCTGGTTTGGGGAGTGTAGAACCAGGTTAAAAAACCTTAGTAAAACAGCTGGGTTCTTCTGGCATTCAGCTGGTTGTTTTTGTTGGTCTTCGATGTGCGAAAAAGGGGGTCTGAGGCTGAGGGGAGTGTCCTATCTTGGGTTTAAGGATCTCTTGGGTCTATCCTATGACCTGTCACAGTCGGCAAAAAGAGCCAATCACTCTTTTCGAGATAAAACGGCCTTGACTGACCAAGCCAATCACTTATATCCTGGTATATAGACCCCCATATAGATAGAAAAGTAGATCCCCACTAAACACGTATTGGAAGACGTGCCACTATCCATTTGGGGACCACTGTACTAGGATAGACCAAGGATAGACCCGAGATCTATCAGACTTGGTCAGAGCTTATCACTCGCACTCCCACGATGTCTCGGGTCTCGGGCCCAACTCTGAGAGGTGCCAAGCATTGCGCCAAGCATGCAGCTTCAATGTGGTTGCTATGTTCAACGTATGTTCATGTGTGTTTATATGATATATATATATATATATATTTGGGCCTCACTTTTCATGTGGTTTCACACTTGATTGGCCTCCATGGGGGTGAGACCCCACACGAGAGCCAGGGGGGGTGAAAAGCAGGTCCGCAGGTCCGCGGAACGGCACGGCAGGTCTCATTCTACCACCATGAAGATCTGCCACAGGGGCGGAACTGGTTTCGCGCCAGCGCCACGATCACGAAAGAGGATGATCAGAAGTGGGATTATGGCAACTAAGCTGCATGGTCACACGGAACACAACTCCCTTCGATGTGGTTGGGCCCCCAAAACTCCGGCCCAGCGGCGGACTGCGTCCTTTTTGGTTGCTTAGCAATTCCTTGAGGTTGAGAGCCTTTGAGGTTGAGAACCCAGAAACTCAAGTGCAGTTCCAGCGGTTCTTTTCGCATTTCCAAACAAAGAACATGTCCACAGTCGGACTACGTAGGAGACACGTTTTTGTTCTTGGAATCTGTTCTTCCATGGTCTTCAGGACTGCTCTTCAGCACACGTTTCGCGACACGTGGCACACGTTGTTCGCTTGATTTTGCTTGATTTCGCGTGTGCGTGACACATGACTGGGACACCCAAGGCGATCCCTCCACCAACAAGATGGACACTCAGCAGGATGCATCACTGAAAGTACTTCATCAACTTCAGAGCAGCTGAGCCAGCAAACAACGCCTTCCTTCGGAAGGGACGTTGATTGGTGGTGTCAGTGACAAGAGTGTGGATTGAAAAGTTAGAGGTTCTGGGTTTAAAGTCAACAAAGAATAGAAGCATCATGAAGCATCCAAGTTAGTGGTGATATCCTGACAGAAACAGTTGCAGAGTTTGGAGCCAGGAATGAGTGACATTGTCGCATGAGGTTTGCTCGTCACTTTCTGGAAGAAAAGGATTTGGACAGTTGAGCAGCAAAAGCTGACACTAGAGACACTGGAGGAGACACTGGAGACACCGGTTCGACCACCTGCAAAAACACGCGCCAGGACTCGCGTTCGTTCGGGTTGATGTGGGAGGGGAGTTCTTCCAAATATGTCGGTCCAATTGAGATCTGGTTCGGCCAACTCCACCGGGATCCGCAACGCCGGGGGACCCCGTGGGGACCCGAAGTCCCGAAGAGTGCCGGACGGGGTGGGGCGGTAGCGAGGTGAGGACCAGGAGCAGGGGAAGCGTTGGCAGCATCCTTTGGTGACCTGGCACGAGAGGATAGGACCAGAGGGAGGCCGAGGGAGGTGCCCCAAGCGCCCCCCCACACAGATTGGAATGCTGAGGGACTGAACTGACTGACTCAGACTAGCTGACTCAACTGACTGTTTGCCCAACTGAGTGACAGAATGAGAGGGAGAAGAACTTGCCGAAGATCTAACATTCAAAGCCATCAAACGTGGTAAACTGGAAGGTGTTTGTCGACGTGTAGTGTAATATTGATTTTGGTCGGAATGGGTTTTTAATACATGCATGTACATACATATATATATATATATACACACCCTAGAAGTCGAACCACCATTGTTTTAGTAGCCTGAATCCCGAAGCACCATTGTTTTACTAAGGGTTTTACACTACAAAACCACTTTGACTTCCAGAGTATATATTACATTATGTATATTATACATTGGATCCTTGTCCAGGCTATTTGATGCACGTCTCCAGTGAGGGTCTGCGCTAGCAGCGCTTGCTGGGGCACCTCGCTCCGTGTGAGGTGCCCACTGTGGTGAAAGCCATCTCGGACCACGTAGAGCGTTCGGGGGTCCCAGGCGTTGCGAGGAGAGTCCGAGGCCAGCTGCAGCTGTCGCTGGCCGATCCCCATCCCCAAAAGAATGTGTACTGCCTCACAACCACTTAGTTAGTCTTATAATTAGTGATCCAGACATGGAGATCCCGGCTTGATTTTTTTTGGGGAAGAGATGGAAAAGGTTGAATTTGTGCCCTGAGCTGTATGCACCACGCCTTGTGCTCGCATGCTTCTAGGAAAAATGGCAAGATTGGTGCGATGGCTTTTGGGGGAAGGTGGCATCGCTGGACAAGATACAAGATACAACTATAGCAGATTCGTGATTTACGTGGCGCTGATGTGGGCCGAACAGTGGTCTTGGTCTCTTCATGATGGTTGGGAACAACTGAGCTAGATTCAAATGTTTTCCACTGTTTGTCTTGGCATTGGTCGGCTGCCTGGCCGGTCTGCAAAGAGAAATCAGTCTGATCGCTCTGCGAGCGATCAGTGCACATTAGGCAACCCGTTTGCCACCGGCCGTTCTTCCAATTTCTTCCGCGAAACGTGTCCCCCAGTATGTCCACCCAGGCAGCCACCACCAGCCACCAGCCACCACCGGCCGTGCTCCCAACGCCACGACGGAGCTCCGCTTCCCAGGGACCGCGGCGCGGAAACCGCGACGGAGCTTCGTCCGTGGCAGCAAGGTCCGGAGCTTCGTCGCGGTGTTTGTGGTGTTTGTTTGGGGAACTGTTTGGAGGAATTCAGGAACTTCCACCTTTTGGGGGATCGGAATCAGGTGGGATCTAGGACCTGCGCAGAGGTTTGGGTGCTTCAGTGCGCGTGCACGAGCGATGAAAACGGTGCGTTCACGGCGCATACGCATTCTGCATGGCGTTCACGGATGTTCTCGTTCATGATGGGAACGCACCATGTTGGCACCCTTCACCCTGGCTGTTGGCACGCCCTCCGGTTCACCCGGGCCGTTGGCCTGGGTGAGTCCGTCGCGCGCGACCGGCGGCGCTTCCGCCGGTGGATGGGGCGCCGGTGCCCAGGATGGATGGGTCTATAGAGGGAGGCGGTGCTTTCAATGCGACAAAAAAAGAGGACAACAGAACAGGACGACATAACAGGTGCCAGTTGTAACATGTTGGTAACGGCTGCTGGGGTATGCCCAGGTGAGTTGAAGTGGAGTGTAGACTCTTAGATATGATCAATGATGATCAAAGAAATCCCTGGCGATGTTCTGCGATTTGGGGTGTAAAACCTCTGTAGACCGTGGGGGGTTGAAATATATGACTCAATTTAAAATAAGAGTCTACATTATATATAAAGCTTCAGGGTGCTGTGTGTGTGGGTGTGTGTGGAAGCTGGTCGTGGTGCTGGTTCGCGCGTTGTAGCGAACGTTCTGTAGGCCGTTCTGTTTCTGTTGTGTTGGATTGTCAATGTGATTGAACCAAAACTAACGTGGAAGAAGTGTCACTTCTCTGGCTTCAATGTCTACTGAGTCTACTGTATGATGTATGCCGTTTCAGTTTGGGAGAGCGGGCAGAATGCTTGCGACAGTGCTTCTGGTGTTCACATCAAGACATAATATCAGACTCTCTCAGCTTGTGTGTCTGTTAACATATATACTTCATCCAGCAGTCGCAAAGGGGTGGTGTTTAGTCCCTAAGTGAGTGGATAATGGGCACCCCCAACCTCCATATATATATATTGCTTCATGTCTGTCAGTACTTCATGTCATACTACTGACCTCGTTTGCTGGTCGGTCTGGTTGCTTCACGCTCAGCAAGTTGCAGGTAGTTTGCAGCTACTCCATCAAGTTGATGAAGGCCTGACATCCAAGTTGGGGTGTGGGTGAATGCATGCGAAAACCGGAACACTGTAGATGATCGCATCGAAGGCTAGGATGGAGCTCGAGGGGGTGGGTATCTAGAAGTCTTCAGCCCCTAAATATCGACGAGTGAATTCGGAAAGTGATGAGTGCACATGTTCCTCCAGGTCATGCATTGAACCCGCGCCGGGGCCCGGTAACATCGGTAACTATCGACCCAAGTCAAGGGAAGACACTTCGATCTTTTTTGTGTTACACGGACCTGAGCAACATGTTAAGAAGATCAGACGCTGCAAGTGACCTGTGTTACGCAGGGTCTTCTTATGTCTTCCTATTTTTGAGGCTTTTGCACCACGTGTCTCTCGCTTTTCTCGACTCGTTTGTCTCGCTTCGGCGGTCAAACAACAGGCAACGGGGAGCCGTTGTTGTTTCAGACACCCATTGTTTCAGGTTCTTGTTTGCCCAGACGTCGCGACTGGACTCGAAAAAAGAGAGGGGACCACCGCGATCCACCGCGTGGTCAAGCCGATGTCAGTCTGTCACCGTGGGAAAGCGCCGAATCGACGTGACCAACACCGTGGCGAATCGGCATGTGTTGGTGAGGCGACCGCGACAGCGAATGTCGCGGTGGAGATGTTGTGACTTGGGCACATAGAAGGAAAGAAAAGGTGCCATGTGATGTTGTTTGATGTTTTCACATATTTTCTGATGTTTTTGAACCGGGCAGTCTGTGGGCCCCATGGCATCCATGGCCAACACGCGCCTCGCGCATCAAAAACCGCTTGCCGCTCGCTCCGCCAGGCTCGAGCCTCCCGTTCGTACGTTCCTTCGAGGCTCGAAAAGCAAGAACGGCTCACTGCCGCGGTGACGGGCCGGATCCTACACCCCATGCTGCAGGCACCAGGGTCGGTGTTTTCTGTGTCCCCACACAGTCCAGTCTGACCCAGTAATAGCCTGTTTTTTAACTTTCTTAAGTAGTGTTTTTGAGTGGTTTTGTATGACCAACTCCAGTAAAAAGAGGTTAATCACAGACCTGTAGGGTATGGTGGGATTAAGGTGCTTCTTAGTAGATATTTGATCTACTCTCCCTGGAACTAACATGGACGTGGAGGGTGTCTACCCCTGTTTGTAGAGGAAAGGTCTCTTCCTTTTGGGGCCATGCTATCCACTTCCATGTTGGGTCCGAGTGTAGTTTCCTGTTGTGACACTGGGAGTGCTTTGCTGTTGTTTCTCTGTTTCTTTAAGCTTGGCCGACATGATCAGCAGTGGATCAGTCGTGGATCAGCAGTGTCCGGTTGTGTCGCGTTCGCGTTCGTCGTGCAGGACTTGCTCGAGACACTGCCCATGGGTGAGGCGGGGGAGCTGGCCACGGCACTGCGTCGCTGGACGGTTTTTTAGGCCGGTCCGGTCGATGCTTGAAGCATCTTGAAGCCCTCCCCAATTTTGAGACCGGACCGAACACAAAAAAGGACGTCCCCGGTCCCCGACCTTTGGTCAAAGAACCAACCAACAACCCCTGCAACGAACATCAACCAAGTCGCGCTGACCACCTCCTTCACGCCCAGGAGGTGGTTTTGAGGACACCGTGCCACTACGAGCAAATTGCCTGCGACTTGGAGCTGCGCGCGCAGCTGCTCGAGCTGCGCCTCGGAGGTGTGTTCGATCAACGATCGAGGTCGCTGTGAGGTGCACTGGGAGGGGGAGAGGGAGAGCGAGAGAGAGAGAGAGAGAGGAAAGTGATGAATGAAAGTGAATGAGATTGATGGATGTGCAACAGATTGGGATAGTGTTTCGGTTGAGAGGTCCTTTGTTGAGTGGAAGGTGGAGTTTGGATGGTTTTTGTTCATGTCTTTTCTCTGGGACATGAAATTGCCTACAGAGTAAGCGAGGGTGAAGCCATCGGAAGCACGCCCAAGGAGCTGAACGGAGCTGAACGTTCCTTTGGGGGAACAAGTCACAGCACTGAGGCAACTGCCACCCGAACCAGAGCCACCAAAGAAAGTGATCAAGTTCAGCCCTCCCTTGTGGAAGCAGCGCTGGGGCACCAAGTCCGTAAGTCCAGACTTGACTTGTTGTGCAAAAAAACCTGCAGCCGGAGCTTACATGATCTTACGATGTCATTACAGATCGATGTTAGAAGTTGTTAGTGCTTGGCATTCTGCGGCAGCGCATGTTTGGGCAGAACGAGTTGTGCGGTGCCAAGGTCAAGCCTTCATTGTGCAAGCCTTGCTTGCGCGCTGTGTCAAGAGTGTCCTAGACCTCGGTTGTGGAGACGGGAAGCTTCTGGAGGCAGGTGACGCAGCAGAACCTGCAAGCTGTCGCGAACCTTCGAGCAGAACCTCCGGGTCGTGCTTGGTTCCTCAGGGTGACGCGCCGAGACGCGGCGAGACGCGAGATGCGCCAGGCCTTGTTGCCGTTGGGTTTTGAGCGCCTGGTGGGCTTGGAGCTCTCTGAGCACCGGACGAAGGCTGACGAGCCATGCGGGGGGGATGGGGCGGACTGACAGCGGCGTGGTAGACGGGTCGGTTTGAGGTACCAATTCGTGGGCATGCAGTGGCATGGCTTGATGAATGGCTCACCTAGATGCTTCACAAGTATAGGCCAGTAGGAGCGTTTCGAAGTAATCAAGCAGCACAGATTCAGTATTTTTGGCCCACTAAGATTGAGGAGCTCATCTTGAATCATCTGCAGCTTGCTTGTGCGACACTCTCGGCAAGGTCAACAAACTCTCCAAAATTGCAGGAAGAATCAAGGGTGGCCATATAGAAGTAGATGGCTCTTGATTGCTCAATGAATTGGAAGAAACAAACAAACAAACAAACAAATATACATGCTATGGTGCTTTGGTGTCCCTCTTCCTTCGAGTAGGCGTTACGTCAAGCTCCTGTGCACCCCACGCCAGCCTTCAAAAATGCATGGAAGACATGGAAATCTTCGAGTGGACGACTTGTGAGGTGTCGGATTTGGCTGGACCCAGTTTCAAAACTGGAAGCCCTAACTGGAATCCAACACCGGTGGAAACCAAACAGTTTCAGAACACCACGCCTTCGCTTTGAACACCACGCCGGGCCGGGCAGGACGCCCGTCAGCGCCTCGCAGCGGCCGCCCACGGAGCTGCCAACGGCGCCGCCGCGTGGACCGTGCTGTCCGGGGACTTTGTGGCGCCGGAAGATGAAGGCCGCAAGGGGCGGGTTGGGTCGGTAGGGGCGGGGTCAGGCGTTCTTTCATGAGTTTCCGGGTGGATTTATTGAAAGAAAGAAGGAGGGAAGGAAGAAGTAGAGAAGGAAGAAGACTAAGGGACTTAAACATGTGATTCTCATCTTTCCACCTAGAGTGGAAGAAAATGATGGAGAATACTGTGAATTGTGTTTGATTTACGTCTAGGTGTTGGAAGCTGGTGGAGATATGGGTGAAGCTGTTGCACCGGGAAGCTGTTGGCACCGGAACTCTGTGCAAGTCACCGCCATCAGCCCACTCCATTTGGCCCCTGCGATAGGGAATGTGGCGTGTCGGGTGCCCCCAAAAGAAGCGGCCCTCCTTCGTTATGGACATTGGGTAGCGACACCTGGTAGAAGTGCTTCAATGTGAGGAGAACGTGCTGCAGTGCGCTTCATCTTCAATGTGCATCAGTTTTGGTTGGTGTCTTTTCGGGGGGAGACGCTCAATGGATGAGCAGAGCTTTTTGTGACTGGCATGCTGGTACCAGAACTCTGGAGGAGTCTCTGGAGGATATCCAGCAGATTGACAGCTATAGACTCCACAGATGTCTTTGACAGATGTCTTTGATAGATCTGGACAGATCCATCTACAGACCATCTACAGGTCATGTCATGACCAGACATGAGACCACCAGACCGGCTTGCGCTGGTAGGAGAGCAGGCTCCTTGGATCTTGGAGGCTGCTGGCATCGAAGGGATCGTCCTTTGCGAGGCCGGGCGGTGCTGGCCCGATCGCGGCCGAGATCTCCGCGCAGAGCGGTGCAGATCAGCACGACGTACCCTGGTGACTTCTTAAGGTAATTTGATGTGATTTGTATACATATCGTTTCCTATATTATGTTAACCAGGTTAACCATATGTTCCCTATGATTAATCATTGTAAATCCCCTGGCATGGTGGAATTGATGGGAATTGGTTGATGTCTTTTTTCTCCGGTTCCTGGACAGTCCAAGTCTATATCAGCCAGGGCCGGCTTTTCCTCATGTTTCCGCAAGAGGCAACATCGCATGTGACAAATCGCCCCAGGCAAGTGCAAACTGGACGTGGGGAGAAGCAATGAAAACATTGGTTGAACCATGTTGGTTGTTTTCTGGATGTGTCTTGAAGAGGCCAGTTTTCTGGATGCCTCCTTTCCACCCCTTCAAACCTTCAGAGAGATGGCCACTGTGGGATGGGACTCACCCGACCAGACGCAAAAATAGAGCCCAAACAAAGAGGCGAACATCTGGAGAAGCCGCCAGCCGGGCCTAGAGCTGCTCGTCTGGAGGATCCAACATCTGGCCAACAAAAGACTTTTCCACAACCCGGAACACTCCGAGTTGAAGCTTCCATGATCCAACAAATCACGAAAGGTAGCCAAAGAGGGGATACCTTGAGTTTGTCTTGCGAAGCAAGTGTTGGGACGTCCGGGTCTAATAATTGATCGCTCAATTCAGACCCCCCCCTTCGAATTGATTTTTCAATACAGACCACCCCCCCTCCCGCCCTCTAAAATCAATTCTCTCCTGGAGAACGTCTTCGTGAGCCTCTCATGATTTCAGGATAGTTGAAACCCTCTTGAACATTCAGAAAGAGTGAATATGAAATTCTAGTCACGAAAGGTGTTCCCCGAGGGGATACATACCTAGAGTTTGTTTTGTGAAGCACGTCAATTCTCTCCTGGGGAGCGTCTTCGTGAGCCTCTTATGGTTTCAGGATAGTTCAAATCCTATGATGTTCCGATTCAATGCTCACCGATGATCTGAGCCATGGGGCAAGTTTGTTTTCCTAAGAATCTTCTTGAACATTTCGAGAGCATATGTTTGAACATTTAGAGTGCATATGAACATATATTTACGAAAGGTCGCCTCCGAGGGGATAAATCACCATGTCGACCATTGCACTTTTGTTCCTGCCTCTCGCGTTCTCTTCTCTTCCCGCTGTCCTACCTTTCGTGTCTCCCTCCTCTCACGTAGAACCACCAGACGTTCTTCCGGACCTCTTCGGAAAAAACCGAACGGTGTTGGACACCACACCTTCGTCACCCAGACCGGTGGAAGACCGGGCCTGCGGTCCTTGGACCTGCGGTCCTTGGCCACCGACCAGGTGCTGGAGCACCTGCCGGAGCCCTCCATGCCGCGGCTGTCCGGGAAGCAGGGGGGGGGGAGAAGCAGACGGCCACACGAATGGTCATGGGAACGGTGGGAACGCTTTGACGTTCTGATGAGAGTCATGACTGGACTCTCAGGAATCGATCTCTCTGGCTATAATAAATTTGTGGTTATATATAATTGATTGCCAGGAACCCCAAGGAGTGGTTGATGGACACCCCTTGACCTCTAAGGGTCTAAGGGACTATATTGATTAATGGACACCCTTTCCGTGGTGCATGTGTGCGTGTGTCTTGTTTCCTCAAGTTGTGACCTCAAGTTGTGAGCAGTTATTCCTGCCACAACCCGCCCTCATGGCATCGTTTCTTTGGTGCATCAGCGCCTTCGGGTTTCTGTGCAGATCGACTGCACAGGATCCGGTGTTCTTGCAGATATGGAGCCAAAACGAGCAGAGGCAAGGTCTGCCTTCACTGGCTTCACCGCCTTCTGCTCCCAAGATGGAAGGAAAGTACCAAGTGCTCATCCCCAAACCCACCAGACATGCCTCTGGTGCCGATGTCTTTCATTTGACCCAGCAAATTCTTGAAGCTTTGAAGGAAGCAGCCAAAGCTGCAGGAGGAGAGACCTGGAAGATTGTGAATGCCCAGTTCTTCTCGCGTCTCTCAAGCTTGCCCAGCTTGGAATCTTCGAGCGTTGAAAGATCGGACTTTCGGGTGGACTTTCTTCATCAGATCGATGAACCCACTGCTACGAGCCTCCGGGAGCATCCGCGGGATCGGACCGAGGCGTACTCGTTGAACGTCACCCAACACGATATCCTGATCGCGGCCAGAAGCAGCTGGGCGTTGGCCAATGCGATGGCGACCCTCTATCAGCTGGTTTCGGTTCAAGTGACTTGGCCCCCAAATAAAGCGATAGATGGAACATGATGGAACAAATCAAGGTGCTCAGGGGGGCCCAAGAAAAAGAGGAAGACAAGTGGAACAGAGTGGCAATCCCTTTGACAATTTGACCCAAAAACCTATGTTGAAATCTGTTGACACATTTTGGTGGCCAAGTATTGCCGCATGTTTCAGCTGACTCAGTCAATATGCTTTGAGACAAAACACGGCGCTCACCGAACGCAGCAGGTGACCGACGGCGCCCATGTTTCAATGTCCATTCCTGGCTGTCCTCACTACATCGAAGACCAGCCTGGTTTTGTTCACCGGGGAGTGCTGCTGGATGTTTCAAGGCAATGGTATTCGGTTCCATGGACCCTTGTTCTTGAAAAGCTTTGCTTCAACAACTTGTTAGTTTTAAATGATGTTGTGTGTTATTTAAACTTTGTTCTATGCAAAACGTGTTTTCTCAAGCTTGTCACTCAACTTTGAAGGTGCCTTGTTTGTAAGGTTTGTTCATAGACATGCAGTTAGAAGCAGTTGTTACTGTTACATGTTGTTACGACATGTTGAAAAACGATTCTTCTTTATATGCTTGGAGGGGGAGCGTGGTGAAGGACCGCCACAGAATTTGCAACTAAGGATAAAGGTTTTGATTGCAGCACTTTCGGAATTCAAAATCAACGTTTTGCACTTGCACCTCACGGATACTGCCTCATGGCCTGTGGAGATAGAAGGCTACCCGGAGATGACGCAGGCGCTTAGCTATCGCGATATTAATGGCAATCCTTTGACGTACTCACGCAGTGACATCAGAGAGATGGTGGAGTGTCACGGCGGCAGAACATTGTGGCAAGCTGTTCTTGTTGAGTGTCTTGCACAAAGAAACTTCACCACGGACCATGAGCTTGGTTAAGGTTATGGTGAGCGTGGAGCTTCATGAAGTAAACAAGGGGAGCCGGGATCAGGGGACAGGGGGGCGGGTAGCTCTCCAGCACCGTTTTCTAGTTTGTCAGGTCCGATTCTAGAGGATGCCCGCTTCAAACGATGGCCATTGGTATCGACGCACACATGGAAGTGGAAGCAGAGTACATCGCCTTCCAGACCATGTTCTTTCCACTTCGTTAGGTAAGTCGCAGTGTTTTCAGCAGAAGCCTCAGAGAAGCCTTTAAAACAAAAAACAGCATTGGTTTGTCTCCCTAGTCGCCCTAGTCTTGGTCACCTATGGGCCCCCCCAAGATGCTACCTATGCTCAGGTTTGCCCGGGTCCGAGGGGTATCCATCTTGCCGGAGATTGATGGCCCGATGCATGCGCCCGCCTTGGCCGCGGCCTTGAACCTCACGGTGGCCGCGACAGTGAACTTTTCGCTGCCGCAATTCGCCTACGAACCGCCACCGGGCACATGGAACATCTCCAGTTTGAGAGCCATGCAATTCGTGAGAACTGCTCTGGAACAGGCCATGTCCATGCGCCGCGATTTGGAGGGTTTGGCGCCAAACCTCTTTTCGGAGGGTTGGGGCTGGTCCTGGGCAATCTCATGAACTTTCTTTGTGAGCTCACAAAAAGCAAAGTTTCAGGATGTTTCAGGTCATCTTGTGTTTAGAGAGAAGGGAGGTATAGGGAGGTCCTTGAAGAAGACAGTTGATCGTTAGCTTGAAAAAAGCTTCAACTAAAAGAGCCTTAATTTGGAGGCTGAAGAGGATTTCTTCACCGCCCCATTCCTGCACGTGGGCGGAGATGAACCCACTGCTGCATCCCTATGCGTATTGCTGGACGAGCCCCTGAGGGAGTTCTGCTGGGAGCCTTGAGAGGTGCTACGTGAATTTCATTGGTGCTTGGTTTCCCCACACAAAAGAACCACAACGGTCAGAGTTGACTCTCGATGCTGTGATGAGTCCCCTGAAAAATGAAAAATTGTTCGGGAAAACCTATATATATATAGAGCTTTTTGGAATCAAGTCTTCAGCAGACTTTTGGATTCTTTATGGTGGTTTTGTAGGGAGCCAACTGATCTGGCCCAAGTCAGTCAGGAACAATGCACTTCCACTTCGGTCAAGGGCTGTGGTGCTGTGCCAAAGAAGCCCAAAGAGGCCAAGAGCGGTGTCACCTGGTGGTTTCCAGAGTATCTCAACGCCAAAGTGCAGGACTACTTCGAGCCCCGGCACTGAACAGAAAAAAGAAAAACTGTTTGCTTTTTGGTGGAGTTTGATTTTTGCAAGCACAGAGCACAAATACATGAAAATACCATACAGGGTTTTGCCAAAATTGGTAAGGGCTTGTTTGTTTTTAGTCAATCCTGCAAACACTCGGGGAGGACAGCGTCACGCCCTCTCCTGCCAAGATTCCAAGGGCAATTTGGTCCGGTGCTGTAACAGACATGGGAGTGGAAGTACCCCCGACTGACTTGAAGCATAAGTCTGCGCTTCAGCTGTGGACATTTCCATCATCATCTTCTACATCACAGTCCATTTCCGAAGACACATGGCGGCAAAATGGCTGAATATATGGATACAAATCCAAAGATCCATTGGAGGAAATACATTTAATGCTGTAATCTTAATCTGATGCAATTAATACAAAGCAGATAGTACACGCTAATCAATACGCGTGTGTGCTCTCTGAAGAGCCGACGAAGTCATTGCTGCAAGGCCTTGCTTTCTTGTGCGCAGTCATGTGACTCAGGCGGATTGCCAGAAGTATGACCTGATCCAAAGCGCTGCGACTTACCCACAGGACGGCTCGACCTACGGCTGGCTCTACATGGATTGCGGATCTGGAGCCAATTGGATTGATATGGGTCCCAACTACTGGTGTCCTCGTGCTTCCTGGGCAGCGCTCTACTCGCTCAACGCCACGCAAGGATATGGTGACTCGTGATGGGCGTGTCGTATCATGACGTGCGAGGGAGTTCGTTCATTCGCGAGTCGCGAAGCGAATCTGAAACAACTTTTTTGGGAATTGGTTTCCCCACTAAATATGAACAGCTGGTTTATTCTCGGGAATATGAAGGAGTCAGGTTAAGTGACCTAAAAAAAGACCCTGGGGGCCCTATGAGTGTGGTACCTATTCGGATAGTCGAGAAAGGGATAAAGGGTTCAGAACCTTTGTTGGTTTCTGGAGTGTGGATCCAGGAGCGGGCCTTAGGAGCGGGACTTTGGACAAGCTGTTTTCAAACAGAGACGAAACAGGGGGGCTTTTGGGTCAGGGAATGAAACAGGCGACAGAAACGTGATGTCAGGTGATGGATTGACGACTTCTCGCTGCCAAGAAGCTTTTCTAGGAGCTGAGATGGCACTTTGGTCTGCTGACCTGTTTTTGTGAGACCGTCTTCCCATGTCTTCCCATTCCAGCGATTTTTTCTACATGAGCGTGAGTTATAGCGGGAGTTATAGCGTGATATCGATCATCTTCCTGGATTCCGGAGAATGGCGCAGACTCCTTTTTGAAGTGTGTCCTGCCATGTCAAACTGTTCAAACACTCCTCTCACCAGCTCGAAAACCCGTGCTTTCCGGGTGCGTCGTAGGCCAGTCGTTCTGCGAGATTTCTCGGCCAGGTCCGAGGTCGGAGGGATGGGCCGCTTGACTTGAACAACTTCTGCGAACCCAGAAGTCGCCCATGAGAAGCCGTGAATGAAGAGAGGGTTTTGAAGGGTCTCTGACTTTTTTTGGACTTGGAACGTTCACTGGACACGGATTATGTACGGTTTATATGACGTAAGACTCTCAGAATCCAATAGAACCTGCAAGTTTGAGATTTCTTGGTTTGTCTCAGTGTGTTCTTTTCATGGCTTTGTTTTGGCAGTCCGTCCGCCCAGTCAGAGGCAATGGGATGGCCCTGATCTTCCCTCGCGCCGCCGCCTTTGCCGAGCGCATGTGGAGTAATCCACCTGCCTTGACGGCTGAGCAAATGACTGGGGGTCAGCCACCTGAGAGCTATTGGCAGAGTCACCTAAGAGATGCCATGGCACGACTGAATCAAGTGTCTTGGTAGTGGCTTGAGGATGTTGTTTTTGTATTATGTTGGGCTACATGATGTGGTATATGATATGATTGGTTGTGTCAAGTGCGGGCAGTGGATCTACCAGGGTTTGCTACTAGTTGTATTTTTGGACACCCTTTGTTCAGCTCCGCTTTTCTTAGCTTCAGACTGG